TATATATATATATATATATAATATAAAATATATATATAAGGTTTATTTTATAACATACCGAAAGATATTATTATACGAAGAGAAAATTACCATGACCGAACTCTTTATGTGGTTTAGTGTGTATAGATTTATATATGGGTTTCTATTTTAATTTATCATTCATATTATATGTGTTTTATGTGATCTATAACATTTATATCTATATTATTATAAACATAACATATTATAACACTTATATTCTAACTTTATCTTATTCCAAGTGGCATGGCATCCCTACTCTGCATGCAGAAGCTCATCGAGAGCACGCACATCCAACAGTGATACCTCTCACTAATTGCTCTCATAAGACAATCTTATGAGATAAACCGAACACTAGAGTCATTTCCATACAATAAACACATCAGGTATGTGAGGACTGTTGCAATTACTGGAGTATTACGACTACTTATATCATGTCGTTCAAAGTTACAATGCTAGTCTCCCACTGTCGTGCTGACTTGTAAGTAGGGCCACAAAAAATGTAACTTCTTCGACATACATACGTCACAACTCCAACATTGTAGTGTTCTTTCGGGCCCTCTGGGTGGACAAATGGGTTTTGCTGTCAGGTTTCTTAATCTGCTCTCTCTATGCGGTGCTCGCGCATAGGGGTAATTGCCAACTGTATATATATATATATATAAAACCACTGAGACACTTGGTTATTGCAGAGTGTGCGTCTCTGCCAGCAGATGCCGCTTAATTACCTCCAATATATTCATCAAAGCCTTCCACTTCCTGCCCGAACAGCTCAGTTCAGGAAGAAGAAATAATGGCGACGCTTCTGGGGTCCGAGTCCCCTTGTACTGGAGGAAAACGAAGAAATTGCAACAGCAATATCGTCACAAAGTTCACGGCCAGTAAAATTACTGGCCAGGGTTTCAGTCGAGGGACACAGGTACGAGAAACGATGCATGTTTCGGCAGTAAAGACGTGCGAAGGTTGGTCGACGGAGACCAGGGACTTGCGCTTTGAGTCCAGCCTGAAAATGAAGACGTTGTCCTGGAGACTGGACTGGAGATGTAGTCGCCCCTGTCAGCGGTGGCTTTACAGCCAGCTGCCACATTACGGGGTTATTTAAACACACAAACCATGAGCTTTTACTCACTTGACTTCTGGATAATAATATTTTCGCGTTGACAGTGAAAATAACGATGTGCTTCACGTAAAGTGTATGAAACAAGCTCCGTTTCAAGTGGGTCTTTTGTTGTTAGCTCCACGTTAGCTTAGCATTATAGGCCAGGATAACTACGATATAAAAACGCTTTGAAGTGAAAGTTTGTCGGACTGTTGTTGTTGTTCGGGCGCTGGGGTGTCAGTGTTACTAGAGAGTCTGTGTTTCGTCTTTGTAAGCACTTAAATCCACGGCAGTAACATTTGCTACTGGTAGCAGACGGGCTAACGTCAGCTAACGTTGCTAGCTAAGCCAGCTGAACAGCTCAGGTGATTACGTAACGACACACTAACCACAATAACTATCGTTGCCATACATGGAAACGTCTCGACAGCTGTTTTGGCAAGTTAAAGTTAGCAAGTTTCTTTTTTATTTCCGCTCAATTAAACATTTGGACGGTATTTGTAACTTTGCAGCACACATTTGTCCGGTCAGTGTCGATGTGACGCTGCTTCACGTCCACTGCTTTGATGGTCTTAAAGCATAATGAACGTCACACCTGTCCTGACACTTTGACGCAGTCAGCCGCTGTGTGTCTGTACACTTTGTGACTGAAAGCCCTTAAAGTGCAGAGCTGAGAGGAGCCAGGTATTACTGTGCAGCCAGTGTCGTGCCTTTTACCTTCCTTGCTGACTTGCAGTTTTCAAGGTAGTGTCTCTCAGAAGTGAAATACTATTATCCTAAAAATTTTAAATTCCCCAGATAACCTTGGAAATGTGGAATTTGACAAGTTCCCCCAGACACTGTGTTTGAATTTGCACACTTTGCAAAATTCACAAATGTTAAGCCATAGCTGTTTGGTGTGGAGGAAGTCTTTCCAGGGAGTTGGTCTCCGTTGGTGTTAGTATGCCAGAAGCTGCTGTTAAGAACATTCCTCAAGAAAGATACTTCCTCAGTCCTCTTTGCAGCACAGCTTGTTACTTGAAGAGGAAACCATTCGTTCGTTGGGCTCAGTGGTTGTTAGTATTGCATTTTTAAAATGGTCGGATAGTCATTTTTTATTTGTTTTGGGGCATATGGGATATCGTTGTTTAAGTGTCCAATATCTGGAATGAGAAGTGTTACAGTGAGACGTGTGTGAGCCTGTGTGAGCCTTTTGTTTATGGTCATACTGATTTCCTGGGCTTTTGAAGCACTTTAAAGCCAGCTGGTGCCAGTTGGGTGGGTGTTGAATGGCACTAGGATTGGGCTTGTTTATTACACTGATCACCTATGTAGAGGAATTAAAAAGAACCTATTAGAGCAAAGAGATCAATGCTTCTGATCTTCTGTTTCTACTGAGAGCCATGCAAGTTGAGGAATTGTCATGTAATTTCTCATGCATATCTGTGAAACATAACCTGTTTTATTTTTGAAGTGTTTCGCTCTGCTGCACCTTGTAGCCTCGCTCCACCATATATTTGCACCTGGGGACTATGAGCCGGGCCAGGACTCTCTTGACCTACAGTTTTATTTATTAGACTGATGAAGTAAAAATCTGAAGCTGCTTTCAGTTTCTGTTCTCTTTGTTGTAGTCTGCTAAATGGCCTGGGGTGTGGCTCCTATCTCCTTTAAAAGAAGACCTAAAACCTTGCTGTTCTCTGGGGCGTGTTTTCTGGGGGGAGATCATCTGAGACTGTGGTTTTCATGTGCCATAAGTGTTAAATATTTATATTTGCTTGACCACACATGCATTACACTTGTGTGTATCCATCTTTATTACTCTGAATGAAACATGCCATTAATGCCAGAATAACGTTTAAGTTGTTCTCTGAAGCACTGATGCAATTAACCATACATTGTTCATTGCCTATATTGCACTATTTAAGGTTGCCTCTGTGTGCGTGTTGTAGCTCCCAGGAGGCCTGCTCCAAGAGAGAGATAAACGGGCCAAGTGGCATGGCATCCCTACTCTGCTGCAGAAGCTCTACGAGAGCAGCCATCCCAACAGTGACCTCTCACATGCCCATAGCTTTCTTAAGGTAACCACACTGGTCCATACAACAGTGAGGCTGTGCAATTACTGGTTTTAGCCACTTTCAGCTGAATGTTTCATTTTGGAGCCTGGGCGATGTAAATTACATGTGGACAATGGGTTTTCTGTCAGGTCTTATCGTCCCAGCTCTCCATGGAGGCCATGTCTTTTGTCACGGAAGACAGGAAGACCGCTCAGGAATCCACCTTCCCCAACACATACACCTTTGACCTCTTTGGTGGAGTCGATGTAAGTTTGACATTCTTAGTGCTTTATGCTCTGTAATTATTGGACTCAGATGTTGGAGAATCAGTTAACATGTGTTGTACAACCCAGTACTGACACACTGTTGATATAAACTGCATGGGCTCACAGCACTGAATGCTCATTTTCCTGTTTCCCTGAAGCTGCTTGTGGAGATCTTGATGAGACCTACATTAACTATGCAGAAGAAAAAACCCAAAAGTGAGTAGGACTGACATCACATCTGTGTATATGTCTGCTTTTATTGGGAAGCTAACAGGTTTTTACCTGATTATAATGAATTTAAACTTGATGATACTTTTTGACAACTAGTTTAAACTCTGTTTCTGTAACAGTGAATGATGACTTGGTCAAGGACTGCCTTAGTGTGCTCTACAACTGTTGTATATGTGTAAGTATCCTATTACACTTTGTACATACCAGAGAAATGTCAGAGGTGCATCATACCTTGCTTCAGTTTAGCACATGTACATAACTTGATGAATTTCTTGCAGTTAGTTTGTCCTGTTATATTTTCTCAAAAACAGGATCATGTTTACAGACAGGAATGGGCATGATCTAATTAACGTCCAAACGTTCTTCTTTCAAAACGCAGACGGAAGGGGTCACAAAGAGCCTGGCAGCGAGGGATGACTTTGTTCTGTTTCTCTTTACCCTGATGACAAACAAGAAGACCTTCCTACAGACTGCTACCCTTATTGAAGATATTCTTGGAGTCAAAAAGGTCAGAGTTGTACTTAATTCCTCAGCCTGAGCATGTAAAACTCTCTTTATGGCCCTGTTAACTCCAGAGTTAAAAGGCTTATGAAGTCTCTTTGATTTATAAGGTGACATTTGGTAAGCCAGGATCTTAGTTTTATGTCCACCTGTTTTCTTAAAAGACCACTGTGTACAGTTTAGTGTCATCTAGCAGTGACGTTGCAGATTACAACCTTTTGAATACATCGAAGCAAGAAAGAGCTAGAGCCTGGGTTTGATTTTTGTCCATTCTGGGCTACTGTAGAAACATGGCAGTTCAACATGGTGGCCTCCGTTGATTTAAAAACTCATTCTAACACGAAAAACAAGTGGGAACGCAATGATTCTTAGTTTCAGGTGGTGATGCAATATCTGTTGCATTTCTGCCAATAGATCCTCTGAAATGTTACACACTGGACTTCAAAAAGTCAGTCAAATTAATTAGCAGTCTTATTTTTTTCTGTGAAAACGACAGGCTTTTCAATATTTGCTCTGCAGATAAATTAGCGTCATGTGCTAGCTCTATTGTCCATGTACAGACACCTCTAATGCCAGAGTGGTTGTGATTGTCACACTGATGCCTTAATTTTAGAATAATGCTGTGATATTCTTCAACATTTTTAAATGCTTTTTGTCTAGCTCTGTATGTTAAAACATTTGG